GATAAGATATATAAGAACAAATTACAGAAAAAAAACCCCTAAATATACCATATCTGATTTACTGCTTGCTCCAGGTAGCCGGTAATAGTTCACCCAGTGATGCCTTTTAATGTCCGTTATAAGAAAAAATATTTGCAGCATCTATGTACCACAATAATCCTCAATCCTATCTGTGAAGTTTTCACAGCTTCTTTTTAGAGAAAACCAATAAAATCTACAATGTCTGCTCCATATCTACCAATGTTGAATGGCTAGTGAGTAGCTGAAGTGAGATAAAAAATGTGTGTGAATGAACCTGAGTTCAGCAGAAGCTGGGGACTCCTGGATCTCTGTAAAAAAAATGTAGTTTTTAAATACTAACCTCACTTTGTACTTTCTTACAAAGTATATTACAAAAATAGATTATAGTTTCCCAGGCTGAGTTTTTGCTTAGCTTGCATTTTAAAGGGACTTTTGTGCCTTTATTGACAGAACTCTGAAAAAAACACAACCATTACTGTGGGACTAAACTGTCAGATCAATGCCATGAAACTGCAGTGGGTCATTCCAGCCAGTGAGAGAGAAAGGAAACTGGCTGTTTGGCATTGGTGACATGGTTTACTCTAGAAGCAAAAAGAAATGTTAAATATCTTTTTTTTTTTTTTTTTAAATTACATCTTTTTTTGGATTATAGCAGAAAGCTTGAAACCATTCTATTTCACTGACTTGAAACACATGCACAAATTCTCTTTTTTGGATGATAACGTAAGAAGTTATATGTTATTTTGTCCACCAGAGGGTACCCAACATATTTCCAATCTTGCAGTAGGAAGCAGCAGAGGCTAAGAAAATAATTAAAATCAGTTCAAATTAATGTTACCATATTTTCAAAAAGTACCAGTGCCTATGTTTTATATAATTCTTTGTGAAAATGAAATTAATTCAAATTTTCTTGAACAAATAGCTTCTTCCAGCTGTACAAATTCCTAGATACATTTTTCATGATGGATTATCTCTACACAATTTTGACTCCTTTTAATGTTATCATGAGAGAGAGGCCATGTTGGACTGAAATATTTAATGATGTTTCTTGTGATGTGGGATTTCTACTCCTTCTGAATTGGAGCTGAAAGTAAGATTCAGTTTTGGAGTTAATCTCCAAAAACTTTCGGTGTAGGATTTAATCTAATTTAAATACCCTGGGTCTGAGTTTGCAGAGGGTTGTATTTCAATATCTAATTTGATGATCTCTAAGAGGAAACAAACAAAAAAAAAAGTCTCAAAGTGTTGCCAAAAAATACTTTGGATTTTATATTAGTTCTGTATGTAATGGTTTTGTTGTTGCATAGCTCAGTTTTAAGGTGTTTAACTTTGTTTTTAAAAGAGGGAATTGAAAAGGCTCTTTTGGTCAAACTCAAAGCATTTAATAGGCCTTTCCTCAGTCCAGGATAATTACCAGTGCTGTTTTTCAGCATTACTGAAGCAAAATCTGTCCTTCCTGTGAGACTTAAAAGTGGACAAGTTATGAAACAGAAATGCTTTCAAAATGGATTGTTCTTGCTAGTTTGAAGCATTTTGTGTTTAAATAAGATGAAACAAATTCAAGCAGGAACTGAAGTATACCTCCTTTAACATTTATTTAGTTATTACTACAATCAACCATGGAAAGGTGTGAATTTATCAACACTTGAAATCTTTACCACAGTGGGGCTTAGAGAGATGGATGTGTTTTCTTGTTCAACCAGAAGGTAGCCAGCATGATGCAGAAGTTAGTGAATGGGAGTGGAATTCTTCAGTATATGGTATCATGAGATCTATGATCAGAGTGGTCCCTTGTGGCTGTAGTATACACTATGTGTGATACATGATAATGAGTACATGTTTTGCATTGACTGGGAGAAACTAGTTTGTGGGATCCCAGAGAATACATCACACATTTCACACATTCCGTTCAGGAAAAAAAAAACCCACCAAAAAAACCCAACAAACAAAACAAACCCAAACAGGTTTATTTGGAAATAGTTAATTCTTCTTTCTTGCATGCAGAAATCCACAGCTGACTCTCCTCCAAAACTTTGCTCATGGTGTTTACTGCCATAAACTGATTTTAGATGTTTATTTCTGATTTGTATATATTAAAAGCAGTTGAATTGGCGAACCTCCATCAACTGGCCCTCTAGATTCTGTCAGTTCTCCAGAACAGATGCACTTCTAAAAACCAGGTCCTGTCAAATTATTTGTATTTTTATTTGACTCTGGGTTTTGCTATTGTTAACAGTATCATAGAAAACCTGGCTCTTTGGAGTAGAAGCAATAATGAATTTAAAGCAGGTTTTCTTTTGCTTCTGCCTTCATTAGCTAAGGTTGCTCCATACTGCTTAAAAGACAGATACTGAGATAAATCACCCTACAAAAATATAGAATTTTAAAAAATCTCAACAGTTAAACTTCATGTGAAAGTCCTTCAAAAACAAGCTCACAGTAAACTGTAAGTTTAGCTCAGATGAGGCTGGCAGAAAATTCCTGTTGAGTTTAAGATACTCAAGTGTTCAAAGTACTTTCTTGCCTAAGAAGTTAATGAAGGAGTCACTACTACCAAGGAAACAGCAACTAACAACAGCTTGGACATAGCTCCCTCTCTTTTAGTCTTACAATGTACTGAATAATGTACATGCACAGAAGGAAAATGCACTCTGCTCTTCTTCATCTAAAAAGAAAAAGACTTACTTTCTTTGTTCTTAGTGAATGTCATTATATACTCTCATTGCTAAGTAACTTGTTTAAATTGACCTTCAGTAATTCAGTATACCTCAATGCACCACATTAGCACACTGCATTCAGGTTATCATCTGAAACACGCATATTAGAAAATAAGCTTGTCATTTGCATTATCATATAATAGCAATTAGTCTTACAATGAGGGTTTATTTTGAATGTATCATTTGCATCAATGAACAGAGCCTTGTATTCCTTACAAGATGATCAATGACAAAAGATCTAATCCATGGTGACTAAAAGGCAACAAGTAGGTTGTCTGTGGCTTCTGTGAGAATTGGATTAAGCTTTACAGGATTTATTGAATAGAGGAAAGCCCTAGAATTGTTAATTCTTGAAATTCACTAGGTCCTGGGAAAACATTCCTGAGTTTTATGATTGTGATCCTATAGTCCTTATTCAGGTTTTATATTCATGAAATCAAAGACTGAGTGAAATCCCTGATCATATGTTTCAGCCCACTTACTGTCATCTCCTTTATGCAGAAGCACTTGTGAGACACGATTTTAAAATGGGCTCAGTGTTGGCTTAATTATAATTTTCTAAAACCTTTGTAGTTAAAGATACAAAATGTTGCTTTTGTTGCTTTTTAACCCTCTGTTAAGTCTCTAAAATAAGGAAGACGTTTCTAAAATGCGTAAAAATGAGAATAGCTATCGGGTATTCCTGCAGTGAGAGAGCGAATTGCACACAGATTTTTTGCACATAGACATTTTATGTCTGTTTTGTGCCGACATGCCTATGCACACATTTTGATGTTCTACTTTCTGAGCATAATGAAGACATCTGAGACCCAAATTATTCCCTGTAAATATTTTGCACTCTGTCCCTTCTGGCTACTTATTAACGTTCCTATTCAAAGAGGATCACATTCCACTGCAACCAGAAATATTAAGAGCTTGGTCCTGAGTAGCACTCATCTAGGCACATTGCTAGGATTTGAGAAATGTAATCTTCTAGTATCTATGTTAGTTGTATTTACTTATTTTTCCAAGATCTGTTAGTCATACTTTAGTACATAAATGTATTTCCACTATGTAGATGTGTATATATATATATATATACATAGGAATGGTAGTCCAAAAATTCCTCTTAACTTGGTTCCTAAGAAAAAATAGTTTCTTTCCTCCTTCCTAGGAGGAAAATTACGACTCGGTAACATTCTGTTCTCCAGTCCGTTTATTGATTTGCTAGCCAAGTCTCAGCGCTACTGATGTGATACTTCCTGGAAGGAGCAAATTTGCTTTTAATCTAAGCACTCTGCCCTTTCACGGATATGCCTGGGATTTCCGCTTTATGCTTTGCCAAACTCCACCCAAACTTTCTTTCCTTTCAGGAAGAGTCCTGAAGGGTGTATCCTGTGAGTTTTCCTGACACATGGCATGGAGCCAGCATAATATTGTTTTTTACAAATCCATCTAATTTCACCTTCAGCATTTCTTTGTTTTCACATTAATGTGTTCCTGTTGATGGGAGCGTTAAGTACTATGGCAGTGGGGGGGTAAGAGACAGATCATTCAAGACAGATTTTTCTTCTTGTAGGAAATTCACTTCCTGCAGTTTAGTACTTTAATGTACATATACTAGAATGGCAGACTTTGTTCTACCTTAAACCCTGAATCTCATGTATGGGTATAAATCTTAATATGACTTTTTTTGCTACCAAATTCAAGTTCTCTTCCTCATGTTCAGTTGTGGTGGGTTAACCTTGGATGGCTGCCAGGTGCCCACCAAGCTGGTCTCTCACTCCCCCTCCTCAGAAGGACAGGGGGAGAAAACAAGGTGAAAAAACTTGTGGGCTGAGATAAGGATAGGGAGATTGCTCACCAATTACTGTCATGGGCAAAACAGACTTGACTTTGGGAAGATTAATTTAATTTACTGCCAATTAAAAATAGAGTAGGATGATGAGAAACAAAAAACAAACTAAAAACACCTTCCCTCCACATCTTCCCCTCTCTTCTTTTCAGGCTCCTTCTCTCCTTCACTCCTGACTCCTCTACCTCCCCTTCTCCGAGTGGTGCGGGGTAGGATGGGGAATGGGGGTTGCAGTCAGTTCATAACACTTTGTCTCTGCCGCTCCTTCCTCCTCACACTCTTCCCCTGCTCCAGTGTGGGGGTTCCTCCCACAGGATACAGTCCTTCATGAACTGCTCCAGCATGGGTCCCTTCCATGGAGTACAGTCCTTCAGGAACAGAATTCTCCAGTGTGGGTCCCCCGTGGGCCACAGGTCCTGCCAGCAAACCTGTTTCAGCATGGACTCCTCTCTGCGGGCCACAGCTCCCTTCAGGGCATCTCCACCTGCTGTAGCATGAGGTCCTTCATGAGCTGCAGTGTGGATATCTCCTCCACCATAGTCCTCCATGGGCTGCAGGGGGACAGCCTGCCTCACCATGGTCTTCCCCACGGGCTGGAGGGGAATCTGCTCGGGCACCTGGAGCACCTCCTCCCCCTCCTTCTGCACTGGCCTGGGGGTCTGCAGGGCTGTTTCTCTCGCATTTCTCTTACTTCTCTCTCCCACAGCTGCTGCACTGCATTTTTTGCCCTTTCTTAAATATATTTTCACAGAGGCTCCACCATATGGGCTCAGCGGTGGATCCATTTTGGAGCTAGCTGGAACCAGATCTGTCCAACAGGAGAGCAACCCCTGGTCTCTTCTCACAGAGGCCACCCCTGCGGTCCCCCCACTACCAAAATGTTGCCACATAAACACAATACATCAATCCATACCTTTTTTTAATAACTCATACCACATTCACCTCAAAATACGTCTATGCCACTCACATGTATATGCAACTGCAAAATTATATATGCTACTATAATTCTCTAAAATGTTGGGTTTCTTCAGGCAGCTCATGACCCAGGAGGTGTTTTAAGCTTTCTAGGCTTTCATAATTGCTTTCACTTGGCACATAAATAATCTGAGTACCAGGTAATCTTGGTCCATTTTACTTTTCTCATAATTTCTCATAGTTCTCAATTATTCTTTTCTCATCATTCTTTTCTGTCCTTTCCCATCTCATCCCAACCCATTTCATCCCATTTTGTCCCATCCCATGCTTTCCCTAAAGGTTTCTGCTGTGCAGACTTCATTCATCTCAGACACTTTCATTCCTCTTGAGCTTTCTGCCTTTCACTCCTGAACTTTGCTTCCTTTGAGTCTGACAAGATCTTCCCATCATTCGTTTCCTTTGCTGTAACCCTGAGTTCCACCTGACCCTCCACTATATTTTTATAAATAAAACAGTCCTTAGTCAAATAGATATAAGGTGACAGAATAAACATGGCGATTCCTGGATAGCAAACTTCGCCTTTACTCTGTTTTGGTTTTTTGTTTTTTGTTTTTTTTTTTTAATTATAGCTTCTATATGTTCCCTCTGTCTTTTTTTTTATTTAAATTGCTAGAGAAAGGTTGATTGCTTCTCTATGGAAGAAGAGCACTTGACACATTTATGCCCCAGCTCTTATTACGAATTATGCAAAATAAATGTATTTGGTGATATAAAAGAAGTGGGAGAGGTTCCAATCCAGTTGCAACATTTTTCCTTGGTGGTGGCTGATGCCAGTCTGTTCTGTTTTTTTATATTTTTGTACTTTCCGGGTTTTTTTGCTTTACTATCTTGTTCATTAAGAATGTTTGCACAGAACAAAATAAATTCAGTAATATGTGATCTTCCAAATCTGCTATCTTTGTTTTAACAGAACATCCTTCCAAATTAAAAATATCCTGACTGGTGTATGTCCATTATCCATGAGATAAGTCTATTTCTTAACTGATCTCATACACAAAGTATGTGCAAATAATACTTGCATGGTTTAATATATTGTTGTTTAGAGTGGGGTTTTAGATTTAGAGTTTCTCTTGGTTTCATGGTGAGGAAAAATGAGTTTGTTTATCTTTCTGATTAAAAATAAATAAATAGGGAGTTATAATTGTTTTCATGGGACTGCTCTCATATGCTGCACATTAACTCAGAGGCTATATAACAGTACAATGCCAGAGTGTGGAGATAATTCAGCAAATTAAACTTTTACCAGTGAAATGACTGTTCCTCATTTACATTGCATGCATATAAGTGCAGAAAACCAACTCGTTACCACTAATTATTAAGAGAAGATAAATGGTCTGAATGTGGAAACAACCATAGCATAGAAGTATTAGTCAAATGCTTTGGAAGGGTTAGTAAAAATAAGCATTCTTTATTTTTCAAATACTATGCATGTCTGAAGTAATGAATTTTACAAAAGGTGCTAAGTGCTTTAAGTGCATTAAAATATTCTAATGGAGACAGTGAACTGTGAAAGAAAAGTTTTCTCTGAAATGAAAAATAAGTGCGTGTATTCATTTTCACTGATATTTGTAATTCATTGGAAAACATCATTAAAAACATCTGTTACTTAAAACTGCATCAGCTTTAACTGGATACTATTTTTAACCCTCTCCCACTCTGCATTTTTCTAATCATTGATTTCACTAGGTCTTGATTTCTGTGTGTAGGAACTCAGTAATGTGTAATACTACTATACACCACTGCATTTTTCGAAATGTGTGGGTGTTTTATCATTCATAGCTTGCAAAGCAAAATCTGTACATGCACAAGAGGGTTTTGGTCAAATGGATTAGCACATATGATCTCTCAGAAGTTTGAGTGCTTAACCCTTTACTAGACGTCATATGAAGGCTGAGTTAGAATCCTGAGCTCTTTAACAGAATCCCCACTGACTCTGACTGCTAATGGAAATGAGAAAATAATTATTTTCACTTTTTGTTACATGCAACATGTCCTCTCCTCGTTTCTTTTACAGTGGTTGGGACAATGGCTTTTTCCTGGTGGCATGTTCATAGGTCTGTTATAAGGAAATCGATGAGCTAGGATTCATGAAGAGCAGAATCATCTGTGTCAAGGCAGGAGACCAAAGAGGTCAGTCCCTGAGGAAGACAAAGTAGAGTAAGATAGTCCATAAAATGAGATGGAGGGGATATCTGACAGGTTCTCTGTGTAGTTTCTTACCTTCCCAGAGAGATAATATTACACATCTTTATCTATGCTTTTCTGAGGTTGCATTACTAGTAGCTTCTCTGAATTTTGATTTCTTCATCCTTTTTTCCCTATCTTGTTCTACCTTCAAGAAAATCTGCAGTGTTTATGAGTGAATGGATTGTCCAGGTTTTCATGTTCATGGCCATGTTTATGCCCTGCAGGTTTCATTCAGCTACATTTCGCAAGGGCTCTCTGCTTCTTAATGTTTCACGGTGCAAGCTCTAACTCAACAGCATTATTTTCCTCCTGGCTACATTTCCCTCCCTTCAGTTCTACTTGCCCACCTCTTTTCTTTTTGAAACTATACTCTCTAATCACCAGTTCTAGTGTTAGTAAGGTAGCTGAAATGATGGCCTTTAGATTTTTTTTGTCTGTCCTGTTTTCCATTTGCCCCTCTGCAAAAGATAGCTTTTCTGATATACCACCAAAACTACTGTTGCATTTCAGGAGGAGGCCAACATCGTCTGATGCAGCTGCTGCCTTCAAGTCTCTTCAGATTAAATCACATTAATTTACTGCAGGATCATTATAAAGCCATTCATGGATGCTTGTATACTCAGAAATCACATTTACCAGCTAACTGAATGGATGAATGAAGAGGAAATTACAACTTTCTTCTCTGAAATCATAGGCCTCTTCCACTCGAACAACAAGAGAATTTCTACTAGCTGAGGGCTATTAGAAGGCATACATTGGAGCTCCACATCATTTCTATAATGACCTCAAACCTCATGTAAAATACACTGATTTAAAATTTTATTAAAAATCTAATCCTTGGAAGAGATTCCTATGGAAAATTACAAACAGCATCACATTATCACAAAGAACAGAGGGTACAGTGAACACCAGCAACAAACAACAGAGGTTAGAGAGGAAGGATTGAATGAAGATTAAAAGAGCCAAATATATGGTATTTCAGTAAAAAGGGATTGCATGATTGTTCTCTACAGTTATCTGAAGGGCTTCAGGAGTAGAAAATTATTTCTATGTAGTACAGAGGGTGTACATATAGGAGCAGTTAGATAAAATAAAAAAAACCCCAACACCACCAAAATGTAGTTTAAATGTTGTGAACCTTTTCCTAGCAGCAAAAGATCCATTACAATGTCTCAAATGAGATATATACTCTGCAAAAAAGTTCGGGAATCATCCGTTTTCTACTCATAATTATATTTTTTTCAGTAATTTTGAAGAAACATTGAAATGTTTTCACAGTGGTTATGTAGGACTTTGAAAACAACGCTGGATAAAGCACCAAAAATAGTAGGGATAGATAACATACTGTCAGTGTGCTAGGTTATATGATTTAATAAATCTTTTCCACTGTTGATTTCCATTGGGCTATGATTTCTTTTTGAGGGGTTTTGTAGTTTTGAAGTCTCATATTACTTCAGTGGGAAGCTAGCTGAAACTTGGAATTAAGAGTTTCGCTGGCTTTTTGGCTGTGTTTGGACTCTAATAATGAACTGATGATGAGAAAAGCATAGGGATGCTTGGATAAACTCTGTGAAATACAATGTACTTATTTCATCCTGGTTTCCCTTCTGCTCAGTCAGAAGAACCTGAAGCAATTTGAAGTCCCGTTGATTCAGTGCCATAGCTCTCCAGGCCAGGGAGCGCTTGGCTCTTGAAGGAACACTGTACAGAAGGTTTGAGTTGTCTGCAGGTGTCCTCAGGAACCAGCTACCTGGTAAAAATCTGTTAAATCATTGATTGAATAATATAAATAAATATATAAGATAGTTATTACAGTATTTTTTTTAAGAAAGACTTTCTTTCGTTAGGTATAACTGACAATATACAAAGTACATGCACTTAAGTAGTTTTACTGCCTAATATCATAGAATCATAGAATAGTTTGGGTTGGAAGGGACCTTTAAAGGTCATCTAGTCCAACCCCTCTGCAATGAGCAGGGACATCTTCAACTAGATCAGGTTGCTCAGAGCCCCGTCCAACCTGACCTTGAATGTTTCCAGGGACGGGGCATCCACCACCTCTGTGGGCAACCTGTTCCAGTGTTTCACCATCGACATCATAAAAAATTGCTTCCTTATGTCCAATCTAGATCTACCCTCTTTCAGTTTAAACCCATTAGCCCTTGTCCTATCACAACAGACTCTACTAAAAAGTCTGTCCCCATCTTTCTTACAAGCCCCCTTTAAGTATTGAAAGGCCACACTAAGGTCTCCCTGGAGCCTTCTGTTCTCCAGTCTGAGCAACCCCAACTCTCTCAGCCTTTCCTCCTAGGAGAGGTGTTCAGTCCTTCTGATGATTTTTGTGGCCTTCCTCTGGACTCGTTCCAACAGGTCCATGTCTTTCCTG